AATTTTGGGAATGATGAGGGCAACAGATGTATAGGTGTGCTTTACACAATTGATGTATGTATTGTAATGGATTGTATGAACCCCAATAAAATGATTAAAAAAAAACCAACAAAACACCCCAAAGCTCACACCCCTGTGTTAAAATGTACTAATAAAATGCTCTGGAGAGCAATTTGGAAATAGGTTTATGAGCTTTAACTTTTTGTGTATTGTTTTGATGTATTGATTCCACATACAAAATTTCACCCTAAGGAAATAATCATGGATATACATAAAGATTTAGCTACAAAGTAGTTATCAAAGCAGAAAACCTATTGTTTTCCTCCTGTAGAACATTGATCATCCAAATTATGATATACAGGTATGTGTTGCTTGAAGTCTACTCATGTTTTATGAAATAGGATATAATGTGATTTGAAATTTGCATCAATGCCATATTAAATCCTTAGCAAACAGATGTGCCTAAATCACCAGCCACAGCATTCACTGATATTGTACCTTCAATAATCATGTGTTTCACTTCCAAATCAACACTTCTCCTTTGCGTCTTGCTGCTGTGAACACTAGCACTGGCTCTGCTAGGATTGGAGGTATAATGCACTTCATGGTAATATTTTCAGAGAAAAATGGAACAGAAATAATGCTACAATACTCTAAGACTTGCAAAACACAAGATTCAATGCTGTTGCCTTTGAGTGGAAACAGACGCTGTTACACAGTGAACTTTTTATTTGTCCGTCTAGGAAGTTCATACTGAAACAATAGAAAGTACAGGATAGAGCATACAGAGGGCAGCAACAGAGGCATTTATTAGGACCCTCAAGACATGCATTATAGATTACATATGTACTGCATCATTACAAGCCTGGCAGTGCAAATGCCGTGTATGCAAGAGCTGTGAGCGGGAGCTGGTGCATGCTGTCCTGTTCCCAGATGGGTATTTTTGAAGTCTGTTACAAACACAGCTGGGTGTTGCCTGAACAGACACCACACAGTGCATAATTATGCCATGCCCTCGTCTCATGAAAATCGACCCTGCCCAGTAACAATTAACAGCATGGGTGGATGCTCATGATAATATGAATGGGTTTTAAAAGCAAATGGTAGAACAGAACATAGCATATAACCCACTTCAGCCAAACATGTACATGTTGTTGGGGGCAGCCTCTAATACACACCCCACTTCCAACCTTCCCACCATGCCCACCTGTGTACGGTCCACTCCCGCTGTACCAGGATGGGTCTATGTGGCCACCGGTACTATGACAGAAGTAATGATCAGCCACTTCCAACTAGGCTACAATATAAAAGACTGTTTGCCATTTTGGGGTATTTGTGCTTTCCCTTTCTAAGCTCACCCCCATCTTGTGAGCAGCCCGCAGAGAGGCCAATGTGGTGTCTCTGGCCAACAGCCAGTGAGGAAGTGCAGGCGATAGCCCTCACTGACCCTTGAGATAAGGTGACCAGACGTCCCGCTTTTGGCGGGAAAGTCCCGATTTTTGGAAAGACTGTAAGACAAGCTAGGGAATGGTTTGTTTGGTCCATATAGACCAAATGTTTAATCAAGATTCCCCCTCTCCTGGTCATTGGTGTCCCACTTTAAATCTGGTCACCTTACCTTGAGATGACAGGTCGACCGCGACCTTGTGAGAGACCGGCCACAACCATGATGAAGCTGCACCCTCATAACCTGTGAGGAGGCCTGGTGGTGGTGTGTAAAGCTGCTACACTTGCTTTGCCATTATAGAAAACGGAACCACCCATGCACATGGAAATGACTGGAAGGAGACTGTTTCAAGTTCCATCAGTGGGTATCTTTAAGTAGTGGCATCCTTTTATTCTCTTTTTTGAAGGAAACTAACAAATGCCTTTCCTTTCAGAGAGAAAAGAAAACCTTGCGACCAATAGGGATCGCTTTGTAAGTCTGAAAGGGCGATGATCATGAAAGCTGACTTTAGTCCCTACGGCCTTAAAAAGCAATGCTGTTTAAGTGAATCGGCGTTAAACCCAGTTCTGAAGAGGTGGTTGGCTGCCTGAATAGCCGGGAGAGAAAGTGTCATCACACACCAGAGACCATCCCCCACGCCATGAGAGCAGGGTTTAGGGACTTCAGGGAAAGGAGACTTCCACAGGCTCTTAGAGGGAAGCCAGTCACCAAGCCATCCTTAGATCTGCACGGAACTCCAGCTTACCCAGTTTCTGGTCAAACCGCCACGCTGCGACGTAGGCATTGTGTCTCAGAGTGCTGTGCGCGGGCAGCGGCACGGTGACATAGATGGGCCCATCCACCAGCACTGGCGTCCCGTCACTGCTGAGCAGGTGGACACTGACGGCCGTGACTGGGGTCAGGTCATACCTCGTGCTGTTTCCTGGAAGTAAGAGGCAACCTCGATCATATACTTACAAAGAACCGATGGAGCTGAAGTACAGGGTGCAACAAAAGGACCGCTCCCATATGCTGGGTCCCTCCTACACGTCAGGTACTCTATTAATAAACATTTGCTCATGTTCTTCTCCCCACAAGCTGATAGGGTAGGTCAAACCAAGAACCAAACCCACTGCCATCGAGTCCATAGCGACTCATAGCGACCTGATAGGGTAGACAGGTCCCTGTACGTTTCTGCAACTGTAACTCTCTAAGGGAGTAGACAGCTGTCTTTCTTGGAACAGCTGATGGTTTTCAGCTTCTGACATTGATGATGGCAGCTCAATGCATAACCAGTATGCCACCAGGGTTCATCGAGGGTAGGTAAAGCTGCTCTTTCATAAAGCAAGTGAAGTCCAGAGAGGTTAAGTACGGGCTGCTGGCCTAAGTAAGGAGACAAACCAAGAGCGACAGGGCTGAGCTCCGACTTCAGGCTCTGCTCTGAGCGACTCCATTTTGCTTTCACGGAGGGCTCCCAAAGGAAAGGACTTGTTTACACTGTGAGAGGAAGGTGCAAGTGGAAATCCCTGAAAACGCTGGCAACATAAAGTGAGCCCCACGCCCATGCTAATTACTTGGCAGGCCACCATAGTGAGACTAGTGTTTTATATCTGAGACCTTTTTTCTTTTGCTAATAGGAAATTTCTTCAGGGATTGTTTCCAAATACCAACTTCCTTCTGCAAAAAAAATACATATACTATTGAAATCTCAGACTTGAAATGCTTTATGAGTTATTTTTTGTTGCCACTGGTACTCGGATCTGACTGAAAGTAATTTAATAGACCAATTATTCTACATTAGAGGCCTTTTAACCCACATCAGGGCCTTCATGACTGTCTACTGATGAGAGGGATATTTATCCACTTAAGCAATCTATTTTAGATTTCACTCTCTGGGGAAAGATGAAATCGCACAAGCGCCACCAGTCATCATTGTAAGCCTTTCGGTACACACAGCGAAGAGAACAGGGACCAGAAGTGTTGAGCTGCAGCAGAACCCACGCTGCAGAAGTTCGCTCTCAGCTTCGTATCCTCCTCCCAGGTAATGCAAGCCTCCAATCGGGACGGAGCTTAAACCATTTACAGCCAACCTGGCGCACTGTAGCATTTTAACTACGAGTTCTGGGCGAGCCCTTGATAGAGCCAATTCCATACGGTTAGTGACAGCATGGCACATGCTCACCTCGGTTTTCCAATGAAGGACAAGGCATGGGAAGGGAGAGTTCATCACCAAGTCCAAGTTGAAATAATAGATTCAAGTGTGGTGACCTTTATCCTGGCCATTTCATTTTAGGGCAGAAAGAACCCACCCCAGGAAGCTGTTGGGCTTTGAATTCTGTTACCAACTTGACAGAAAAGCACAGGCACCCCGAGAATTCCACACAGTTGAAGATAGATTCCCCCCTCTTTTTCCGGAGTTACTCTCATTCCCTGTCATTCAGTCTATTCCAACTCATCGCGACCCTACAGGACATGAGTAGAACTGCCCATTGGGGATTTTGAGGTTTCAAATCTTCACGGGAGTAGAGAGCCTCATCTTTCACCTTCAGAACCACTGTTGGGTTTGAACTGCCCACCTTGTGGTTAGCAACTCAATGTTACCAAAGCCACCAGCTCTCTTCCTGGTGTTACTAGGTCCAGTGATTGCTTTAAAATTCCTTGGGGACTTCATCAAATAGGTTTTGCTTTCTTGTCCACCAGAGTGGAGAATGGGATCTTACGGAGTTGCGGGGCTTTGGCTTAAGTATGTGATGGCAGGAAACTAGAGCACCAACATCTGGCAAAGAGCAAGCAAGGAAGTGACTGAAATTGCCACGTGTCTCCACGAACAACTCTGGAATCCACGCTGCATCAGACACAACTCCCCTTGCCCTATTCCAAGAGAACCACTCTTTGAAGAACTTCCGATTCTGCATCCACTTTTATTACGGTCCTGGTATGACCAGTCATCTTCCAAAGATGTGTTTCATTCAGGCTCTCCCTCTAGGTTGAACTCCCCTTGATCCTTCTTAAAATACAGGATGCAAATAATGGTATAAAAGAGAAGCTGAAAACAACGTGACCCTGGAGAGCAGTACTTGGCTGATTAGTTACTAGGGTCGGTGCTTTAAATAAGAATACATGAGCTCAAGCCCTTGTGTATGTGAGTGTGAGTGTGTGTGTGGTTGTGTGCGCTTGTGTGTACACTCACTCTATGGTCAAGGCCTTTCCAGCAGGACCCAAAGGGCTGATGGTTTCCACATCCACTTATGAGGTATTGTGAAGGAAAAACATTTTAATGTAACCTTCTAAAGTCCTTTTCTCTTCCCTCTGAAATAACAGAGCAATTTTAAAATATAAGGAACGCTTCTAAAATCAATAGTTCTGTATCTTTGTGTTCTTCTTCCCCTAGTCCGCTCCAATGCCATTATTTATTCAGCAGCTATTGAAAGTGGGACACAGAAAAGCTAATGAGCTCCAAGGAATGAGGGAGTCCTTTTGAATCGGGGGTGGGTGGGGTGGGTGGGGTTGTGACGGTGTGCCTTTTCATTGGGAAAACTAGAAGGGGATTTTATGATTACCTCAGACTGGCTTCATCATGCTTCCAGAAACAATCATTTTTTTCTCAGGCCTGCATTTTCAAAGTAAAACGTAACATATCCCCCCCCCCCTCAAAATTATGCTTACTTAGGATGATTACCAGGCATTTGTGTGGTGACAAATTGCAAACTGTATCCTCAGCATGCAAGAGTTGAAGGAAGAAGAAACCTTTCTGAAATAGGTACCACAGAGGGACGCGACGTAAATAACAAAATCAACAGGTCACCCTACACCCTAACAAGGAATTTATAAATAGTCTACAAGTGGATCCGATGCTACTGACCAGAGAACGTTATCCAGAATAATCAGTTCATTAAATCGAACCCACTAGCATTGAATCAATTCCAACTTGTGGTGACCCTTTAAAGGCCAGGGCAGATCTGCTCTTTAGGGTTCCTCTGATGGTAAATCTTTATAGGAGTCGAAAGTCTCATCTCTCCCCTAAGGAGTGGCTAGAGAGTTTGAGGCAAGGATGGCAAGACTTTGTCTCATGAACTCTGGATGTTGTTAGGAGAGACCCGACCTTGAAGAAGACATCGTGCTTGGGAAAATCGAGGGGCAGTGAAGGAGAGGAAGGCTCTCAACGAGAAGGGCTGACGCAGTGGCTCCCACAATGGGCTCCAGCACAGGAAGACGTGTAAGGATCGTGCAGCACTGGGCAGTTTTGCTCTGACTCATTGGCAACTAGCAACAAGAACAACAGTGGGGTGGACTCTCTGATTTAGTATGCAGCAGCCCAGCACTTCACCTGCCATGCCACCAACTTGTGTAAAGCACTGTGGGGTGGAATAAAAGCACACCTGAGAACGTCCATAGATAGTTCAACCGATTTCACATGGGAAAGCATCCAGGTCTTCAATCTTAGGTCACGACTAATCCTAAGTAGGGGGACAAGGAGTGGGACGACCAGAGGATATCTCAGGACTCCAGCACCCCGGTGGCAGAGTGCTTAAGTGCTCAGCACTTTGAACCTGTCAGTCATTCTCTCTTTGGGAGAAGGATGAAGTGCAATCTGCTGTCCTAAACATCACAGCCTTGGAAATCCATCGGGACAGGAGGCTGGGTGGGGGTGGGGGAGTTCTGTTCTCTAGGGACGATAGGTGTCCATGGGTTTCAGCATCCCTGTGACCTGCATTGCTAGACGGCAACAGGGGTTTACAGTCTTGTTCTGATGCGGCATTATTACAGATACTCTGGCTGATGGCTATGATTTCGAAAAACTGTGATTGAACTGAGGGATGTGTCAGAGAGGGATTCAAAACCAATGCACAGCGTCTACCGCTCTCCCAAGTTCTGTCTGTGAGCAAGCGAGGGGAGAGCAGGGAGGTGACGACAGAGGGGCGAGGGCAGAAACTCTGGAGCATCCTCTCAGCTGGGACCTGGGCGGGTGGGACCGTGCCTCTCTGCACCGCAGCCTGCTGCTCTGCCAACCCCACACTCCAGTGAGAGCGGGGCCGGGCAGCGGGCAAAAGGTAGCAAACTCATAATTCTGATCTTAAACTCTTAGAAAAATATAAACTTGCAATGACAAGAACTGCTCTGAATCGCATATATAGTTTTCCAACACAGGAGAACTCAGAGAAGATGCTCCTCAAAACCACACGTAAAACTCTTCCAAGGAAGAGGGCGCCTCAGAGAGACAAATGCACTCAAGTTCAGCCACTGCCGGGCTGCGGAGGGAATTCCTGAGGTGCCCGGTGGAGGCTGCCATCCCTACCATGAACTTGAACTTGTACAGAGAGTTCCCCTTTTGTCACGTCGGTCAGGTCCTCCCACTCAGTACCCAGAGTCCAGGCACAGAACAGACAAAACCCCACATAAAGATGAAAACACAGAAGCCCCGGGGCTAAAGAAGCATCGCAGATTTACCTGTTCCATTTCCATCTAATCCTCGCAAGTAAGGAAAACTGTCCACTTCCGAGGGGAGGCTGGCCGCAGTGAGGAAGGCAGTCAGGTCGCTGTAGCTGGTGTTCTCCGGCAGCCGCAGGGCTCTCCTCTGGAAGTGAACGCGAGGCTGGGGCCGGGCACCTGCAGAAATTAACCTCTGAGTTACCTCCTGCCAGAGCAGTTGCTGTTTTTAGAACCTTGAAGCCAGGAAGTGCTTCTGGAAGATCTCCAAGCACGCCTATGCCTCCCCTCCCCTCCCCACCCCCCACCCCCACCCCACCCAAGCCTGGACACAAAGATGTGACAACATGCTATTATGTGGGTTGAAATAATAGCCCATTGTCACGTTTGTTTTGACACAGGATGCTGTGTGTGTGTGTGAGTGTGAATAAAAAGCTTTCCAGAGTTCTGTTTATGAGGAGTCTTTTCACGCACAGCATTTGCCTACAGAGAAGGAGCTCTGCATTTTGGAAAAGAAATCCATGTCAATGAAACAAGTAGAAGACAATCGGTCTTTTCACACACACCAATGCTGGTTCTGTTACAACCATCCTTAATCGCCCTGGTACAATCTGCTTTAACTCCACAGATCACATTGAAATAGAATAAAGGAATTGGACGCTCAGACTCAAGAAGATTTGCAAACAGGGGCCTAATAATAATTAACCCCATTCCTGCTGTGGACACTGCCACGCGACTGCATGTGTTTTGCTTGGCTCCACAATCAATCGCATGGAAGCAGCAGTCAAGAAGTCAAAGGATGCTTTGCAGTGGGTAGATCTGTGGCACAAGACTTCCTTAAAGTGTTCAAGAACAAAGGTGTCACCTGAAGGATTAAGGTGTGCCTGATCCATGAAATACCCAGGGTCCCTTCAGTCGCCTCATATGCACATGAACGTTGGACAATGAATTCAGAAGGCCAGAGAAGAATTCCTGCATTAGGATCATGGTGCTGGCATTATGGGGAGACCTCATCTCACACACTCTGGACATGGTATCAGGAGAGACCAGGTCCTGGAAAAGGACATCGTGCTTAGTGGAGTCAGTGAAAAAGAAGGTGAGCCCCAGGGATAGGGATTGACATAGAGCAGCGGTTCTCAACCTGTGGGTCACGACCCCTTTGGGAGGGTCAAACAACCCTTTCACAAGGGTGGCGTAAGACCACCAGAAACACGTATTTCCAATGGTTTTAGGAACCGAGACGCCGCTTCTCTATCCGTCTCCAGGTGGGTCCGCCCACATGCAGATACGCCCACATAGGAGTACCCGGCGTGAAGACTGCTCCCCATGCTACACCATGCTTCAAGCCAAAATTTCATTTATTTGTCATTAGAAAGAAATATTTTACAATATATAATTATATATTGTTTTGTGGATTAATCACTATAATTATGTTCAATTTGTAGCAATGAAAATATATCTACATATCAGATATTTACATTATGATTCATAACAGTAGCTAAATGACAGTTATGAAGTAGAAATGAAAATAATTTTGTGGCTGGGGAGGTCACCACAACATGAGGAACTGTATGAAGGGGTCAAGGCATGAGGCAGGTTGAGAACCACTAACAGTGGCTTCAACAGTGGGCTGAAAACACAATTGTGAGGATGGTATAGGATCAGGCTGTGCCTCGTTTTGTTGTGCACGGGGTGCTATGAGTCAGCATTGGCTTGATTGCACCTCAAAGCAACCTGCACAAGCCCAGCAACGCAGCATTAGGGCATTAGGGAATGAGAGTGACATAATTTCTCCAGGTTAAACTAGGGGGCGCCCACAAAAGTAATGGGCCAGACCCAACATTCCGGACACCGTGCTACTTCTCTCAGGCTTGTGGTCAGCTCTCTTTCTTCTGTGCTTGGCGGGGACTCCTTCTCCCTAACCCTGTCTCAGTACAACTAACTTGCTCAGAGTCAGCGATCTTTATATTACTCCAGGGACCTCTTAAGTCTGGATCAGGAATTGATAAAGAGTCCATGTGGTACATTGATTAAGTGCTTGGCCACTAACTAAAAAGTTAGTGGTTCAAACCTACTAGCTTCTCTATGGGAGAATGATATGGCAGTCTGATTCTAGGATTATTCCATTAAGACTACAGGCTAGGGAACCTTATGGGGCAGTCAGTTCTCCTCTGTTCTATAGGGTGTCTGAGTTGGGCATGACTTGATGGCCATGGGTATAATTGGCAAGCTGATCTAGCGGAGTTCTAGATTGGTGTAAATGGCTCAACAGTAGACTACAAACCAAAAGGTTGTCAGTTTGAACCCACCCAGGCACCTCAGAAGAACCACCTGGTGATGTTTGCAGGCTCACAGTGCCTGGGAGGTCTACTTCAGTGGAACAAAGTTGAGTCATGAACGAAGGCTGCTCTTCTCATCTCGTACGGATCACTAAAAGACGCCATCTCTGTCTCTCACTTGAGAGTCTTCTCTCATTTTCTGGCAGAGCGCACATGTCGATGGGAGATGCTCATTTCCTCTGCTCTCCTCCACCCCACCCTGCTATGCCTCTTCTCTTGATTGTGTGCCACAACTGGATCGATGCTCCTACCTCTGTAGTATACCTGGCATGGTTAGAGAGCAGGGGGCTGTGCCTGGGGCAGGTTTACTAGAAAGGGGTTTGGTTGGCATAGCTGATTTGATGCCCTCTAAGTCGGGCACTACATGGAGACCTGTCTGCTGACCAAGGAAATAATGCTTTCCACCAGAGAGGAAAGGCAAAACCAGTGCTTGGTGAAGTCACTACAGAAACAGCAAAGTATGAACTCAGCAAAAAATAGATGCGGACCCATCTTGCTAGTGGTCACCAGGAGTGGAAGGAGGAGGGAAGGGTGAGGGATTGTTTAGGAGACAATGGGTTTCTTTCAATAGTAATAGATTCATTTGGAAAAGAATAGTGATAGTGCTTCTGCAATATAAGGAACACAACCTCACTGAATTATGTCTGTAAAAACTATGCAAGTGACAGAAGTTTTGCCTGTATATTTATATATTTTTTACCAAATAAAGAAACAGCTGAAGGATTTAAGGCTATACAGTATTGAAGTTACAGTGTTAAAAAGAAATCTACGTATGGGGATGGCAGTAGGGCGTTACGTTCCTAAGACTATTTTCATGCGTTAAGACTACTAGATTTCAAGCATTTCAGAAGGAAATTTCAATGGGTGGGGATGGAAGGAACAAAGTAGACAAGGCTACCTGTCATCCGAGAGTCTCTGGAGGCCTCTCTCTCACACATCACTGAAGCTGCTTCAAACACCTGTTCTTCTCAAGCCTTAGTCTCCGTCCTCCCCCCAAGAATGCTCTGCCCCCCAAACCCAGGGCCACCCCTGTGTCTCTCGGCACTTCAATCCTGCTCTTCCCGCTTCTCTTTGGCAGCTCATTCTCTTAGGAAGAAGTTTCCCTAGTTCCGGTCCAGATCATCCCAAGATCAGATCTAAACTTGGGTTGGCGTCTATTTCAAAACTTGGTTCCATCAACTCTTCTTGCCTTCATCAACGATCTCTTCCTCCACTGGCTTTTCTTGCCCAACAAACAAACCGACGGGAAGGTAGGTGGGAAAAGTATTGTTATCAAACCATGCACAGTTTTACTAAACAAAAGTATCAAAACGTGAGGCTGTTGTTTCTCCACATATCTTCCGTGTAGGTCTATACACTTCTGAAGAGGGTGCTTCCATCTCTCCAGTCCCTCCTCGGAAGAACTGTGCACTCTTCAGTTGACAACGCTCTACATGACAAGTTTGGCATCCTTGAGGGATTCAAATCATGTTCCCTTTCAATGTTCTTTGAATTTGGGAACAAGAAGGAGCAAGATCAATGAAATTTTTGTAGGATGGCTGTGGTAGTTCCATAATCTGGTGTCAATTTGAGGATTAAGAGTGTAGGGGTGGAGTCTAGTCTGTCAATCAGATCATAGCCAATGAAGCCTCTTTGTGGGCATGGACTTCTCCTGAGGATTCTGGGAAATCCGGATTTCCCATTTGGAGGCAGAAGACACACACTCTTTTTCTTCACTCCCTTGGTGATGCTCTACTGACAAGACACATGGCGCTATGCCCTGGGAGCTGGAGAAGCCACATGGACCTACCCTGATGCAGCCCTGGGTGCTGAAGAATCCACGTGGAGACCCCTGCCAGCACTGAGATGCTTAAAATGCCACTGGATCCAAAGACTTTCTATCCACTGGCCTGTGATCGTCCTGCACTCGGCATCATTGCATGTGTTTCATGAGTCCGAAGAGGACTTTATAAATTGGTATCGGTCTTATGGGCTAATATTGGACTTATGGGCTTGGACTGGAATGGGTTGGGATGCTTTCTTAATATACAATTACTCTTTATATAAAACTCTTTTTAAAAAATCATTTTATTGGGGGCCGTACTCTTATCACAATCCATCCATCCATCCATTGTGTCACGTACATTTCTACATTTGTTGCCTTCATCATTCTCAAAACATTTGCTTTCAACTTGAGCCCCTGGTATCAGCTCCTCATTTTTTCCCTCCCCCATGCTACCTCCCTCCCCCCTGATAACTTATAAATCATTATTTTTTCATGTCTTACACTGACTGATGTTTCCCCTCACCCACTTTTCTGTTGAGCATTCCCCAGGGAGGAGGTTATATGTAGGTCCTTGCAATCAGTTCCCCCTTTCTACCCCACCTTCCCTCCACCTTCCTAGTACTACCACTCTCACCACTGGTCCTGAAGGGTTCATCTGTCCTGGATTTCCCATGTTTCCAGTTCCAAAACTCTTTCTTATACACATATGAGTTTCTATGGATTTGTTTCTCTAGTCTACCCGGACTAATACAACAGCCATTACTAGACCCTCCACAATGAGCAGGTACTTTGTTATGATACTAAAAAACCCCAGCGGAACGTTTCTGGCCTTTATATCACTAGTGTGGTGGTCTTAAAATTTCTTCCTAATAAGCCTGTATGACCCCGGCCCCTGCCATGTCTTTTCTATCAAGATGACTCCTTCAAGATTTGAAATATTTAAAAAGTTGCCATAATCCTTTTGGTTGGTCTCTCTACCTTGAATTTAAAGGGCTCGGCAAATTCCTTCACAAACTATTTTGATTAGATCTTTTTTGAAGGCATTTTAACAACACTGAAGACAAGTGTATTACTGA